GACAAAAAACTGATAAACAATTTAGTAGATAAAAAAGGCTGTCTACAATTTAAAAATGAGACAATAAAAATATAAGAATATTATGAGAAACTGTATGATATGGAAGAAATTTCATGGGAGAAAACAACTCAGTATATGGAAAAAACTAACTTACCAAAAATCCCAGAAAACTTCAAAATTATGTTAAATCAGAAAATAATAATGAGGGAATTGATAGAGGCTATAAAAAGACAAAGAAATGACAAAACACCGGGACCAGATGGGCTCCTGGCAGAGTTTTACAAATATCTACAAGATACACTAAGTTTACCGTTGAAAGAAGTCTGTAATAAACTTATATTGGAGGCCAAACTCCCAAATACATGGACAGAAGCAAATATTACTCTGGAAGTTTTAAATAGAAATATTAGACAAGATTTAGAAATTAAAGGACTGGAGATAAAAGGTGAAAGCTACAAATTGCAAGCATTTGCAGATGATTTGGTATTCATCCTAGAAGAACCCTTAGAGATGATTCCTAAATTATTGGAAAAGATAGAACAGTTTGGAGAGACAGCAGGACTGGAGATAAATAGAGAAAAAACTAAAGTGATAGTTAAAAATCTTACAGAGAAACAAAAAAAAATTGCCAGAAAATATAGATCTACAAATAGTTAAAAAAGTTAAATATTTGGGAATATATTTGACAGCAAGATGTTCAATGATAAAAGAAGATAATTATATAAAATTACTAAACCAAATAAAACTTGACTTAGAAAAATGGAAAAATCTGCAATTGTTGATGTTAGGGAGAATTGCTACGGTGAAAATGAATATATTACCAAAAATACTTTTTTTATTCCAAACGATACCTATAAAACTAGATAATTTTTTTTTGAAGACCTGAATTCCTTAATTTTAAAATTTATCTGGCAAGGAAAGAAAGCTAGAATTAAATTGAAAATGATACAAGAAGCTAAGAGAAATGAAGGTTTTGATTTGCCAGATTGGGTATTATATTACCAAGCATCGGAGTTAACATGGGTAAAAGAATGGATAACCCTCAGAAATAAAAGATTGTTGTATCTAGAGGGACACGACTTACAACTTGGTTGGCATGCTTTCCTATAGTATGGGAAAAATAAAATTCATAAATATTTCCAAACCCACTATATTAGAAATGCATTATTACTAATATGGGAAAAAATAAAATGTAAAATATATTTGAAAATTCCAGGATGGCTTTCAACAATGAAAGCATTTGTATACCCAAATCTAGTTAGTCTTGAGAAAATATGGACATATAAAGATATTCTAAACTCTGAAGGGAACTTAAAATCTAGACAAGAGATGGAAAATCAGGGTATTGATTTATCATGGTGGTCACATTTACAGATGCAAGTGAGATATGATAAAGATGTTAAATTGTATGGATTCTATAAAGAGCAGATTTTGTTTGATCAGATATTATTTATTTTATTTATTTTTTCTTTTTTCTTTTTTCTTTTTTTCTTTTTAATTGTTTTAACAATTTAACAACATTCTTTTATTAAATTTTTGAAATTTTACAAAAACAAAACAATCTTCCCCCCAACCTCCCCAACCCTCCCATTCCCTCCCCCGACTTTCCCAGAGCTGAATATAGGCTTAATTAAAATTTCATCAAAAAACTTAAAAAAAATATAAACCATAAATGAATCTAACATTAGTTAGAAATCTAAATACATTAATTAGAAAAATTATAAAATAATTAACAATAGTATATATATATATATAAAACATGAATACAAAAAATAAATGTTTTTTTAAAAAAAGGAAAAAAGAACAAAAAAAGAAAAAAAAAACAAAATATTCCATTTTAAATATAAATTGTTAAAAAACTAAGTAATATTTTTTTATATCCAACTTATGTTGTATAAAATCTATCCATTTTTTCCATACCGCAACATACTTCTCTTGCGATTGATCCTTCAAGAAAGCCGAAATCTTTGCCATTTCCGCCAAATAAGAAACTTTAAGAAACCACTCTTGCAAAGTAGGCAAAGATTCCTTCTTCCAACATTGCCCTACTAACAACCTTGCGGCTGTAATTAAATTTAACATCAATGTAATCTCCTTAGTATCACAATCAATAACGATACCTAACAAAAACAATTGTGGGGTAAATTTTACCCTCCTTCTAAAAATTCTTTGAATATTCCACCATATCTTAAACCAAAAGGCTTTTATATTTTTACACGACCACCAGATATGGTAATAAGTAGCATCCAAACATCCACATCTCCAACATTTAGGCTGTAAGTCAGGATATATATGAGACATTTTTTGTGGATCAAGGTGCCATCTGTAAAACATTTTATAAAAATTCTCTCTTAAATTCTGGGCTTGTGTAAATTTAACATTTCTCACCCAAATAGTTTCCCAAGTATCTAATAAAACTGGTTCACCAAAATTTTGTGCCCATTTAATCATACATTCTTTAACTAATTCTGCTTCTGAATCCAATTCTACTAACATCCCATAAATTCTCTTAATGTGAGTTTGTCTTTGATCTTTTACTTGTTTAAAAAAATTCTCATCTTCTCTAAGCAAACCCACATTACAATCTACCTTCCATCTATCCACAATTTGTCTGTACTGAAACTATGAATATATAATATTTTCTTGTGCTAAATCTTCCAAAGATTTTAACTGCCAATTTTTACCATCCCATCTAAGTAATTGTGCATAAGAAACACTATCCATCTTAACTCCTCTCCTTATCCCCTCTGTCGCATGCCATGGTATGGCCCATAATGGAATTTTAGAATCAGTTCTATAATATTTCCTCCAAACCCGAAGTAAAGAAATCCTTAAAATATGAGATTTAAAAACCCTGTCAACCTTTTTATTAAAAATTAAATAGGCATGCCATCCAAAAAGTAAATCCCAACCCTCCAAGAGGAGTATTTCTACATTTGTTAAGTTAACCCAATCACTAATTAATGTTAAAACCACAGCATCATAATACAATTTCAAGTTCGGTACCTTGAGTCCACCTCTCTCACGAGTATCTTGTATAATTTTAAGTTTTACTCTTGGTTTTTTCCCTGCCCAGATAAATTTGTTGATACCTTTCTGCCATTCATTTAAATTAACCTCGTTCTTTAAAATAGGTATCATTTGAAATAAAAAAAGAAACTTTGGCAGAACATTCATTTTAATCGCCGCAATTCTTCCCAGAAGAGATAATTGCAACTTCTCCCAATTTTTCAAATCTCTTTGTATCTTAACCCACAGCTTTTCATAATTATTTTTATACAGTTTTGCATTAGAGACAGATAAAGTAACCCCCATTGATCAGATATTATTAAGCTGATGAAAAACTAATTAACAAAATGTATAATTTTTTATTAAATTTGAAAATGGAAGATGAACAAGTAAAAGAAACAATGATAACATGGCCAAAGAATTTTGGATACAATATAGATTTAGAGAAATGGCAAAGCCTGTGGGAAATAAATTATCAAAAATGTTTTATAGTGGCACTTGCCCCAGCAAGATTAGCAAAAATGTTTAGAAATATGTCGGATAAATGTTGGGAATGTAATGATAAACCAGGTACTTATTATCATGTATGGTGGACATGTGTTAAAGCAAAGAAATATTGGACAAAAATACATACATGGCTAGAAAAGATGTGGGGGAAACAAATAGATTTTAAACCTGAACTTTTTTTATTAGGTATAATGCCAGAAAAGTTTGACAAATGTAGTATATATTTTATTTTACATGTGACAATAGCAGCAAGATTTATATTGGAAAAATGAAGAAATATCATCGGAGGAAGAAATAATTAAAAAAATACTAGACTGTGCAGAAATGGACAGACTTACTCTAAGATGGAAAGAAAAAGAACAAACAGAATATTTTCAAACTTTGGACTTTATCAATGGTTGGAGAAATGAACTAGGGATTAGGAATCTAATTTGTATTAGTGAATGATAAACTCAGACAACACGTTTGTTGAATAAGCACTGTTGAATTATATTAAAAAATCAATAAACACACACACACACACACACACACACACACACACACACACACACACATTTTCTCCCATGTCAAATTGGAAGTGTCTTGGTGATGTTTCAACGAAGTCCCATTTGTCATCTTCAGGCTGGTGTTTTTGGCTTTGTGCTTCTAGGAACAATGTGTGATCGTAGCTGTTTCTTCCTTTTAACTGCCAGTGGGGGTATGAACTGATTGGATGGGAGCTTGGCTGTGTTCTGATTGGGTGGGGGGTTGGCTGTGCTCTGATTGGATGGGGGAGTGTTCCGTTTGGGTGGGGGCTTTGTTGTGCTCGGGTTAGTCTGAGTTGCAGGGGTATTTGAAATGGTGAGCTGCGTTGCTGTTGTTTGGCTTCGCGTTTGTGGTCGTGCCTCATCTTCATGGTGGGTGTCAGTTTGCTTCATGCATGGATTGGAGGGGTTTAAAGTGGCTAATGATTTCATATACTCCTTGATTTTCTAACTCAATTTTGCACCGCTTGTCCCACAACAGCTGCATCATTAGCCACATGGTTTCACATGCTGCCTGCACCAGTTTCTGGTGTGCCATATCTCTGTGCTGGTCCGTGGACCAGGGATTGAGGACCCTTGCTTTAGGCAATTAGAATTAATAATTCTCTGAGGGCTACAAGTTTCTCAACTCACCTTACAGTGTGCTTTATCACCTGGAAATACTGAGATCATCACCAATACAATTTCTACTTTACATGAAAAAAATATGAGATATAGCAAATTAAACCATCCTGTAATATGCTATTGAGTCTTTTTTAAACCACCAGAATGTCAACTATTTTGAAGGACAGAGTTAGGAAAGAAGTGAAGCAAATCTGAACTTGGTTAACTGTTCTTTCTTTTATTAAAAAAGGCATGTTTGCCAAGCTTTTTTCTTAATGGAATTTCTTGTGAACCAAAGAAGTGTAAGAAATACATCAACAACAATTATGTTATCACATCTTCTTTAATGTTGCTAAAGTGATTGTCTACATCCAGCCATGGATATACAGCCTAGATCCTAACTCTAATTTTGGATGTGATCATAAAAAAATGCCAAGATCTATTTACCCCAGCATTAAATTAGTGTTGGGGGTTGCTATCTTATATCCAGCAAAAACTTGTCACTATCAAAAAGCATTAAATACATTAGGCACCAAATAAGCAGGAATGTTAGATACATGAACTAGGAAGCTTGGATCAATATATGCACTGGGATTTATTTTCAAATATATATACATACTTTTCTGAGCTATATATCCTCCCAGTTGTCTACATACTATATCAGTAAGTTTCAGTGGGTTCAGATAATTTACCTCCAACTAAATGCTCATAAAATTACATCTTGGCTAACTTTACAAGGATGTGACCATTAATATGTATATCCCAGCTCCTGGTTTCTTATATTGGCTGCTCTGAAATATCTAAGCAATACAGTTTAAGAGGACAAATTCTGCTCAGTGTTGAATACTTACTCAAGAGTGTTTATGAATAGATCTCTTAATGCAAAACGTATTTTTAATGTCTAGAATGCACTGGCAATATGTACTTTGTTCTGCCTTTGTCATTGTTATTTCTTTTCAATTTGCCATGGAGAAAAGTATACCAAAAGCTTAGAATCTTGCATTTAAACAATGTTGTCCAGACTGGTGTTTGCAATAGAATACAGAGAGAATAACATTAACTTCAGTCACAGCATAGTGTTAGGAAAATTGATCTTTTCCATGCGTCAGCTAAGAAGTGCCACTCAACCACATGTTCCTGGGTCTTCCATTCTTCCAATAATGATTGCTGATTTTATTATTTCTTGCATTATAGTAGGACATCATTAGAAGTGTCCATCTGCAAACAATCAGTGGACAGTCAAAAAATAAAATGATGTTTTTTCAATTTCTTAAGCTTAAAGAAATATTTATAATTGCTTGATAGTTTCCTTTGGTTTTTGAGCAACTTGTATTTTAAGTAATATACTTCAGCACAAAATGCATCACAAACTTAAAGATTTCCAATGGTATATTGTCATATACATTTTTTGCTGACTAAAATATTAAAATCCTTAGAAAATTAAAATAACTTTCCTAACTTTCTATTTTCCGAAGAAGAGAGAAGTGAGAGGAAAGATCAAAGGACACAATTGTAAATGAATAATTTAAAGGGAAGGATATCTGTACAAAGGTATACTCCAAATATTTGAAAATATTTCTCTTCAAGGAGCAGAATTTTTAAAAGCAAATGTCCCAGAAAATCCATACTTCTTATACTTTTCCATTTGCCACCACTGTCGTCTGGTTTTCTTCTTTTCCTTCTTCCATCTTAAGTGCTCTATTTGTTGTTGCATACGTTGACACTGGTCCTGATTCAGCTTGATTTTCTTTCTCTAGCAAAACGTTCTTTTTATCAGCAAAATACTTTTTGTAGATCTGGTAAACTAAGAACAATGGTCTGACATGTTAGGAACTGAAATAACAACCACTTACAAAGTCACATTTATTTTGGGACTTTGACAATATTCAACAGTTACATAAAAACACACTCAACCTCTGAGTATAAGGCTACACTCTTGATTACTATTTGTGGCCAAAAGCAAAAGAGGATTGAACTCCTCCATCTCTGACAGAGTTCTAGAAAAGAGAAGGAATTATTTGGAAATGATAGGAGGGGGAGGGGTCAGCATAGTATGATCAAAAAAGTCAAGGTGGGAGCCATGACTGTGCAAAAAATTCTGTCCACTTGTTTTAAATGTACAATACACATAAAAAACAGGCAAAGCTTTCACCATAATATCACAGCTACAATCTTGATTGGCTGTATTCTGTGGATGCTTCTGAATGCTTTACTTCCTTTGTTGGGGGTTTTATTATACTGCATATTTAACCATTAGCTTGAATGTGGTATTTTGAAATGCCCTTGTGTTTCTCCCATATATTCTGTAGCACTTGTTGATTTCCATACACTTTGTCCTACCAAATGTACTTTTGTGGTTCCTCTTAATTGGAAAAGAATGTGAAGCTTGCACCCTGCAAAGCATCCTCATGCATAATTAGTATTTCCAGAAAGACCTCTGAGCTCCACATTTTGAACAGTATTTTCAACCTTAGCAACTTTAAGATGCATGGACTTCAACTCCCATAAGTCCTCAGCCAGCATGTTGGTTGGGCAGTTCTGAGGTTGAGAAATATTGATTTAGAATATAACACTGAAGGAGGTTGCAGCCCATTGTTTTGTTTGGTTTCTGGTAAATGGAAATTTTGTGACTGGCCACACTCCTCAAGGCAACAATTAGGGAATTTTTCAGACTGATTTCTACTTTTGTGGTTAATATTGACCAAGCCAGATAATTTATTTCATCATTTTCACAGCTGTCTTTTAAGATCATTATCTTAAAAATTGTGTGTTTTATTTTGTTTGGGAGATAATTACAGAAAATAGAATCATCTATGGTGTATGAATAAACACTAAAGCTGTTGAGTCCGTGGCGGGAAAACAGACACGAGAAGCAGCTGGAGTTCTCAGTTCATTTATTCAGCGTTCAGCTTACAGGAAGATGGCTTCAGCCTCGCCCAAACGCCTCGCAGCCTCTTATATAGGCAACTCCCGGGTAAATGGGTTACTTTTCCCGTGCCAGCACCCGCGCATGCGCACGGCGCTGGCGACAGCCTGTCTGGTCCCGGGCAGCTTTGCACCTGCCCGGGACTGCCTGCAAACGCCCGAGCCGTTTGCAAAGGCTCGGGACATAACACCCCTTTCCCCCGGGCTAAAACTACTACCAACATACAACATTTATTTTATACGACATTTTGCTCCCCAATGTTCCCACTGTTTACTGGCTTTTGCTTTGCCAGCAATGTTATGTAGTCTTCTAGGTACTTGGGAGATTTCTTTGCTCTCTGTGACCTTCTTAGCTCTGATTACTGGCATAATTCCCCTGACTGGAGGGAGGCGTGAGCCTGTTCTCTCTATTGTGCCCTGGTGTCTTCCAAGGACTGTGCCCCGATGCCTGGCCTGCTTGCTTGCCCACCGGGCTCGTCAGGCCAGGGCTTCTGTTACTTTGTGACCTGGTTGACCTACCTAGCTGTAGACCCTCAGGCCCCTTGAAGTGATAGCCGCTGCTGGGCGTCTCTGTAGAACCTCCTAGGTCAGTCCAAGACCTGTCAGGAGGCTGTCCATTCCCTGAACCCCATTCTGTGTTCGGGCTCGTGTGGGTTTCTGTACTTTCCCAAAACTCAGGTGTTCCCTGATTTGTGCTAGGGTTGTTGTAGTCGGGACTTGGTTCCTCGACTAACTCTGTGTATGTTTGACCCCCTGTAGGATTTGGGTAGGTCAGGCCAACCTTGGGAATTGTGTGCCAGCTCTCTTGCGGGGAATGATTTGTTGGGATGCCCCGGGTATCCTCCGTTGCTGGAGTGCTGTGTGATGTGTGTGTGGAAAGTGAGTATGCCCCCGGGGTGACTCCCTGGCTGGAGTAGGCGTGAGTGCCTGTTGTGTGGGTAAGCTCCATGACTTTCTTTTCGGAGCAATTGCAGTAAGAAACCTTGGGACGAGCCGTTTGTGGCTCCCTCAGTGGAGATGGCAGAGCTCGCCCTTCCCTTTGCTCCAAAGTGTCCCCCTTCCCCCCCTGACAAGACCCAGGAGTCTCAGCAGAAAAGTCTCGCCTAGAGCGAAGTTGGTCGATGTGCCGCCGCAGGACACGACCGTTGTCAAGGGCAACCTCGTAGGAGAGAGGACCTGTGATCCTGGACACAGAAGCGGGGACCCATGTATGACCAGGCCCGTAATTGCGAGCCCAAACCGGGGCACCCACAAGTAGTTGTCTAGGTGCCCTAGGATGTGAGAGTAGATGAAGGCAGTCTGTCCGGATGCAACTGGTCAAGTTTAGTAGTAAGTTGCGCCCCCCAACGAAGTTCAGGTGGGCTTCTCCCTGTAGAAGTGGACGGTGTGGTGCGATAAGAAAGGAGAAAAGTCGCAAACCTGTGATGCCAGTCCCCGTAGGTGAGTCTCTTCATAGGCGTCCTTTGCGATGCGTACCATGCGTTCAGCCATCACCGTTGGTGGACGGGTGAAAAGGCTGCAGACGTGGCATGACGAATCAGGTTTGCCTGTAAGAAAGCTTGGAATTCGGAGGAGGTGAATTGAGGCCGTTGTCGGACACAAGACATCTGGCAGACGTGTGCAGCAAAAATCCCCATCAGTACCTGAATAGTCTTTGCAGTGGTGGTGGACGAGACAGGCACAACCTCAAGCCATTTTGAATGGCTGTCAACAAGGACCAAGAAGAACTGGCCCTGAAAGGGACCAGCGTAGTCAATGTGCACCCTAGACCATGGGGACTGTGTTTCCTCCCATTTATGCACAGGAGCTTGGGGCATCTCTGGGCGAGATCGTTGGCACAGGTGGCATGCGTGTACCTTAGCCTCAATATCTTTATCTAAAGCAGGCCACCACAAGTGGCTGCGTGCAAGAGCCTTCATACAAACAATGCCAGGATGACCCTCGGGGAGGGATTCTAAGACCCTAGGTCACTCATTGAGTTTGGGAATGACAACTCGGTTTCCCCAAGCAGACAACCCTGGCGAAAGGGACAGTTGTTCCTTTTGACAGAAATCTGAAAACATCAGGACTAGGGCATGCTCAGGCCACCCGGGTAAAGGACCCAGGAGCGGAACGTGAAAGTGTGTGATCTGCTACCGTTCAGCGGCAACATCCCTGGCACAAAGAGGGAGCTCGGGCAAGGCTTGGATTGATCGAATGTTGACAGCTGGCGCAGGGTCAGCTTCTACTACTGGCAGAGGCAATCTACTGAGGCCATCAGCATGGCCCATTTCTTTCCCAGGCTTGTGGAGTAATGAAAAATCATATGCAGACAAGAAAATAGACCACCTAAGCATTCTAGGGGAAATTATGTGGGGAGTCTGCTTACGTGTGGTAAACAGTCCACAGCAGAGGCTTATGGTCAGTGAAGACCGTGAAATGCCTGCCATATAGAAAATCGTGGAATTTTTTAATTCCAGCAACAACAGCCAGAGCCTCCCTGTCTATCTGAGCGTAGTTGCGCTCGGCAGAAGACAATGTTCTGGAGTAGTATGCAATAGGAACCTGAGTTCCATCAGAACTGAGGTGACTCAGGACAGCTCCAACCCCGTAGGGGGATGCATCACAAGCGATGCACACAGGGAGAGACTCGTTGAAATGTGCAAGAACACTGTTAGAAGTGAGCAAGGCCTTGACTTCTTTAAAGCAAGCCTCATGCGCTTGTGACCACAGCCACACAGCCTGTTTGTCTAGTAGCCTGTGAAGAGGCTCAGCTACACTAGCTTTATGTGGAAGAAAAGAATTGTAGAAATTCAGGAGGCCTAAGAAGGCCTGAAGTTCGGCCTTAGACTGTGGCCTGGGTGCTTCTAAAATAGCAGTTAGTTTGGATTCAGCAGGATGAATCCCAGCAGCATCAATTTTGAATCCCAGAAATTCAGTAGAAGGCACCCCAATCTGGCATTTGTCTTTTCTGAGCTTGAGGCCTGATTTCCTGAATCTTAACAGGACCGCCCTAAGCCTTTCAGCTAGAATGTGTGTGGAGTCTCCTGCAATCAAGACATCGTCAAAGTAGGGGCAGACCCCTGGTATACCTCGTAGTGTGTTTTCCATTACGCTTTGGAAAATCCCAGGAGCGACATTACTCCAAACTGTAGCCTTTTTACTTTAAAGGCTCCCCTGTGGGTCACAATGGTCTGAGCTATGGCAGCATCATCATCAACAGGCAGCTGTTGATATGCTTGAGCTAGGTCAAGCTTTGCAAAAACACGCCCCCCTTGAGAGAGGCCAGGATGTGACTGACCACAGGAACAGGATAGGCATGTTGCTGCAATGCCTTATTGAGTGTGCATTTGTAATCAGCACAAATGCGAATGTCCCCATTTGCCTTTAGAGGCTTGACAATGGGGGTCTCCCACGGGCTGGAATCAACAGGTTCTAGGATTCCCTGTTGGAGTAGTTTGTCTAGTTCAGTGTCAATCTTACTTTTTAAAGCAAAAGGGACCCTTCTTGCTTTAATCCTAATGGGAGTGACAGTGGGGTCTAGCTTTAAGGACACAGGTGGTCCTTTGAATGTGCCCAGCTGGGGGCTGAAAACATCTGCAAATTCTTTGCAGACTTCCTGTAGGTCGAGTGTTTGTAAGCTGTTGAGTCCTGTGACGTGTATCCCCAGGGCCTCAAACCAATCGAGTCCTATGAGACTCGTTCGTTCACCCCCTACTACTAATAAGTCTAGTGGACCTTCAAAACTCTTGTATTGCACGTTAAGGGTGGCCTCCCCCTTAACACACACTCTTGAGTTCTGAAAATCTGTTAATACAATATCAGAAGGCCTTAACTTGGCCTTAGACCCACTTCTGGAACAAATCTTCCTAAATGTATGCAATGAAATGATGGACAGGGCAGACCCTGTGTCTAGTTCCATAGATAATGGAACCCCTTGTAGCTTCACGTTGAGTGACAGCTTTTTCTTCATGGGCTTGTGTGTGCCTGTTCTACAGATGCTTCTTCGCGAAGTGCAAAAACCTACCCTATTCTGGCTGGGGAATCTGGTACCCTTCAGGCGTTCTTCTTGGGGTTGTGCCTTTCGTCGGCCCAGGCACACAGCTGCAATGTGCCCTTGTTTACCGCATGCCCGGCAGGTAGCGGAGCGGAACTTGCAGTCGGTTCTCCTGTGGCGACCTCCACAGCCGATGCACTTGAGCGGAGCCGAAGAGCTTCCCTTCTGGTTTCCTTCCTTCGCGGGGTGTAGACGGTCGACTTCCTCATCCGGATCCTCCTCGGAGTTTCGTTGAACGTCTTCCTGGTGCACGGACGCACCCTCTGCACTGCTTCTGATCGGCCGCATGTTCTTGACGGCGCTGCCTGCTGCTTCTTCTGCGGTGACTTCCCTTAAGGCGTCTTGGAAGGATAATTCTTCCTTAGCGAAAAGTCTCTTTTGTAGCTCTCGATGCCTTAACCTGCACACGAATCGGTCCCTCAGTCGTTCCTCGAGGTCCTTGAACTCGCAGGGCTTGGCGGCCTTCCGTAACGCGGCGATGTATTCCTTGGCTGACTCACCGGACCGTTGATCCCTTTGTTCGAAGATGTGGCGCCATGAGATAATGGACACCTTGGGGTGGAAGTGCTCCTTCAGCAGCTTCTTCAGGTCTGCATAGCTTACAGACTCTACTGGGACAGGTGCTGCAAGGTTTTCTGCGATTTCGAAGGCGTCTTGGCCGCAAACGCAAAGCAGGGTGGCAGCCTTCAAGCTATCTTCCCTCACTTGGTTTGCCTTGAAGTAGTTCTCCATTCTGGATACGTAGGACTCCCACCGCTCTGGATGTGAGACGTCGAATTCCGAAAGCCTTCCGATTTTCGCCATCTTCGGATCTTCAGGAGACGGGTCTATCAGCCAGCCTACCCCCGAATGCGCACCGGATTGGCGGGCAGCTGCCGAGTCGACGCCGTTCCTCTTTCGCCGCTCAGGACTCCTTGGGTAAGCTTACACTTCTTCCTTTCCAGGTAGTGCAAGGCATCCCATCCTCGTCGCCAGTGTTGAGTCCGTGGCGGGAAAACAGACACGAGAAGCAGCTGGAGTTCTCAGTTCATTTATTCAGCGTTCAGCTTACAGGAAGATGGCTTCAGCCTCGCCCAAACGCCTCGCAGCCTCTTATATAGGCAACTCCCGGGTAAATGGGTTACTTTTCCCGCGCCAGCACCCGCGCATGCGCACGGCGCTGGCGACAGCCTGTCTGGTCCCGGGCAGCTTTGCACCTGCCCGGGACTGCCTGCAAACGCCCGAGCCATTTGCAAAGGCTCGGGACATAACAAAAGCCTCTGAAATAACTTCCTGGTTTTTAAAAACAAAAGATCCAAATGGGTCATAGACAAGGTAGCTTACCTCCCAGAATGATTGCTGCAAAAGCAAGCTGGAAAATGGAATAGATGAGTGGAAAAGTAAACATCAGCCCCAGTTGTTCCTGATTGAAGGAGAGCTGCACAATGGTTGTACACAGCTGAGCATTCTGCATTCCTGTTTCTAGTGCGACAGTACGGCATCTAAAAGAAGTAATGAAGGGTGGAAAAAGAAATAATCACCAGATTGCTTGAGAAAGAGCCTTAGCAGGAATTGGTCTGCTTGGGAATAATGACCAGTTCTGGAGTAGTTTGACTTCTGCTATCAGTTCTGATAAATCAGTTCTGTTTGGCTGAAGGCCAGAAACTTCCAGGGAGAAAGCTTCTGGCTGAGAGCAGCCAAAGGCTGGAACAATTTCCATGACAGCTTGATTTCTGTTACAAAACAAAGCCAGGCTCATTTCCAAGGACAAAAATTCTATCTTTTATCAGGATCTGATAAAATTTTGCTTACAAAATTTCTGAACTTGCTACTAACCTTGAACTTCATTGACTAAATTAGGTTATCGTGCTTGAGTTTGAACTGATAATCCATTCTACTCTACTGTGTGATTCCTGGGTCAGGATATAGTGTTTACCTATGTACTGCACGTCTGTCTATACTTTGATAATGTCCACTTTGGATTCAGGCCAACTCACTGCCAGGATGTTGCCCCAAATTGCATTCTCCAAAAGAATACAGGTCTCAACAAGGTACCCTCCCTGAAACTGGGAAACACATCATTAGCAGACTCCTTTTGAGTTATATTAAGCTTCTAAAACAGCAGGAGAGGAAGGGCCCTTGGTGCTCTTTGAGCTTAGTTGTTTTCTCTCAAATGTTTCATTACCCAAATTAGGCAATATCATCAGCTAGTGACTTAGCACTGATGATGTTGCCTAGTTTGGGTAATGAAACATCTGCAAGAAAACAACCAAAGCTCAGAGAGCACCAAGGATCTTTCATTTCAAGCCTGATCTACAAATATTCTCCTTTATTGATACTAGGAAAGGATATGGGATGTTCTGAGGGAACTTCCTTCCCTAGGCAGATCTAAGGCTACATCATGAAAATTTTATGCATTTACTGAACTACATGAGGATTTGCTATAAGTATTGTAGATACAGCAGATTACATGAGCTTCCACCTCTCTTTCTTACTGAGAATTAGGAATTTATGATGCATCAAAAGTTTCAGTATAAGCTCATTTAAATTGCTGTTGGATCAGAGATGAGGTTGGAGAAGACTGAACAATTGAGTTGTGAATCAAGTAGAGTTGTTTTGATGTTTGTGTAAAGGAAGGTTGGGTTTTTTTTTTCAAAACAGAAAAATTTCAAAAACATGATTATTTTATAGCTTGGAAATGGTAATAGTACTTAAGACTTATATACTGCTTCACAGTGCTTTGCAGCCCTCTCTATGTGGTTTACAGACTCAGCATATTGCCCCCAACAATCTGGGTCCTAATTTTACCGACCTCAGAAGGATGGAAGGCTGAGTCAACCTTGAGCTGGTGAGGATCGAGCTCTGGCAGTCAGCTTGATAAATAACTGATATTTATAAATATCCGTTTATAAAAAAGGGAAGTATTGAATGACTAGGGGCTGTAAAAAGCCAGCCTATAACTCTATGGTTAATTAATTTTCAATTTTCAATTATCTTTTAAAAAGATAGACAATATGGTTTATGCTAGTTAGGATTATAGTATTAGTTGTGAAACAAACCTTACCTGTGCCAGGATAGGCCAGCAATGCGAGCCAAAAAAAAGCCTAGAGAATAACCAGCAGCTGGAAAGATAGTCCCAATAATCCAGAGTTGAGGACTAATTGTCCAGGAACTTTGGTATAATATTCCTCCGACCACGGCTATGATCACTATGAGAATAGCACCACTTATGGAACCAATCTGAGGGGAAGGGAGAGACTGCATATTTAATATATCACCAGCACAAATTATAACCTTGAAATCTTCCACTGTATATGGTGGAATCAGGACCGATCCTATTATAGGGTAGACTCTGGCTGCCCAAGTATGGCAATATTATTAACAATAATTGATCAGTAGGCCAATTTATTAAAATGATGACTATATTTTCTGTAACATAGTGATAATTTCTCTCTCATATATCAAAATGACTTGGATTATCTCTAGGTAAAAAAGTAAATTTGCAAAGCTTTGGGGTTTGGAATGGTCTCTGATAGTCCTTAAAGGGAATGAGTGACAAATAGATCTCTTAAATAATTAAACTGACATATTTTGTTTATTTCTTCAGCATTCAAATTAAGGAAGCAAAAGGGATTGCTCCAGTATGTTTGTGTATGAATGTATTTGTTTGATTTATAGGGCCCCCAATAAACGGCCCTAAAATGCTGTAGCAACTCTAAGCATCCAACAACATATTAAAAACATAGTCACAATAGACAAAACAACATTAAATATGTATGAAGGCAGCCAAGGTAAGAAAAAACCCCTATAATACATTCAGATCACAGTCAGCCCCAATTATATCTTGAGTATTCTTTGAGTAAGTATACTCAAAGAATAATTGTTCAGCCTTACCTTAAGTATAATTTTCGCTAGTTTGGGCCATTGGTGCTTAAAGAATATCCCAAAGGAAACAGGAATGACAAGTGCAACCAATGAAATGCCTGGGGGAAAAAAACAGGTTAAATTGGGGAAAAGGTATCTAAGTTGAAATAAATGAAATCTTTTTAACATGAAAAAAAAATATCAAAGATCTTATCCACTAATCAAAATCAGTGTTATGTATGCCATGTTATACAAGTCAGTTTATTTAACTAAATAGAAATAAATCATATAAATTAGTAAGTTATTTCTAAATGGTTCTCCAAATATTCTTCAGGGATATGAATTTTTTCTTTCCTTGGTTAAGGTTTATTTCATAACAGTATATCTCTATATACATTAGTAGTGGGCTTTATTCAGGATGATAATGAGGGTGCTTTAAGGAGGAGGTAAAGGGTTTGGTGAACTGGTATAATAAAAACAGCCTGATTTTAAAGGTAGGTAAAACAAAAGAGATTATTGTCAATTTCATTATATTATATTCAGAATAGTTCTATCATGGTTAGCCCTGCATATACATTTAATGAATTAAATACAGAATAGTTGTAAACCTGAAGGCAATATACTACCCTGCAGTAAGTAATACTAACTAGAATCCTGTAAAAAAATTAAAAGATATGACCGCTGGTTCTCATTGTCTTTTTGGTTTTAGAAATGCAATTGCATTCAATCAGAATCTATGGCTCTTGATTTTGATGGCAGTGTGCCTGCTTATGGAGTCCATCTGCTGACTGACTAGTAGGCTTCCTTGGGCAATTAGCCTGACTAGCAGGCTTCCTTGGGCAATAAGTACAGATTACAGGACGAGATAGACCAGAGGTCAGATCCATCATCCAAAATCAACACTGGCAGAATTCTTTTATTGTGGTTTCTCCAAATTTTGGATTACAACTCCCATCCACTCTGTGTGGCATCAGTGATAATTATGGATTATAGATGTTCAAAAACAACAGAAGGGATTTCCAAATGCTCATTCTGAATCTTTCCAAATTGCCTGTCTATTTTATTCCTTCAAGAAATATGCTATAGACTAGAACTGGGCATGGTAGCAATGAGAGATTTGGAAAAACTATTCAGGTGTTTTGCATTGTCTACATCAACAAAGTTCAGAATCATGGAGGCCACATGTATCAAATTCAATTGCGTCATGTGATGTATCATGACATATTGCAATGTTTTTTGCCTTTGCAGAGCTGGGTGGGCGTGGGCTGTGCGTGATGCATCCTGCCCATGGGCCGTCAGTTTGACACTCCTGATGTAGTCAGTGGTTTTCTCTGTGATGTTTTATGGAAGTTAAGGTTGAAGAAACAGTGTGGATAAAGTTGGGATGCATTTTGTACTTCAGTGTTGGGGAATACTCTCAAGAATATCATGGGGTGGTCAAGAAAATAACAAATAAACAAATCATAAAATAAATCAGTCCAGAGTTTTCAAGGTGCAAATGAACAAGTTCAAATTAGACAGGGTTGTATGGTTTATGATAGGTAGGATGACAGGATATTAATTATGGAACAATGACAATGCTGTTAATATTGAAGGGGATGAATTGAACTGACATAGATTGTTGCAATTTTATATAAATTTTGATAAAAACTATGGTTGAAAATAATTGTATTTATTACTACAATTTGACAACTTTAGACAAAAACCTAACACTCTTGGGAAAAGCAAAAGGATAGAGAAAATGAAAACTAGTAGCAAGTCAATTAAACTCTATTTTTAGAGTGATGAGTATCCCTGTTGGAAGACCTGAAGAGTCAGACTGGGAATGTATCAACTAGAGTGAGAAGTTCAGTCTACACAGTTGCTAAGAGTCAATACCAATCTGAAGGCATATAATCAGCCAACCAACCAACCATTTTATTCCTTGATCCTTTGGATTTCCTACAGTTTGATTGGGAAATGGAAAAGAGTTTGAGCTTCAAAGGTTCTGAGCTTAAAATGACTATTTTGAGCATCCTCAGCTTGAAACAAAATATCCTAGAATTTGTCCTGGATTTGTATTCCATGCTTGAGATAAAACAATTTATTTTATTTCATGTTGTTCTGAGGGTGCTTATTTCTATTTGTCCAAGTAGTGGGAATTAGTGTATTAATCAATAAAATAGTAGACATAAATTCCAGTTCTTCAGCCATTAGCTACAGCTAGTTGAAAAGAGAAGTTGGAGGGGAATTGAGGAATGGCATCTATAAGCACATGTTTAAAGCCTGAAACCATTTTGAACTGCTGGTTTGTGGAGAGAGACACAAGTTGACTACTACTTGCTTAGTGCCTAAGTAGTACTGTTTTATTCATTGCTATTGAAAGCTTAAGGGTTGTAAATAATGCTGTTATCTTTGTTTTATTCTTTCTTAGGCAGGTTCTAAACTAAAAAGAGAGTACTGTGCACATCCATCACAGATGGATTTACTATGCTGTTGAGCTTTCAGGGAACCAAATGAGAAATTATGTTGCTTTCTTTGTTTGTTGAGACAAACCTATCTTAATAAATAATAACAGAATAAATTGAAAAAATTGAACAGTGAATGTGCATTAGAAATAATGTTTCATGGTAGTAGCCATACAAGTGTATTTTTTTATGTCGTTTATGAAGTATGTTGAAATGAAATCTATTGTTGCTTCCTTGCTGGGTAGCTGCTTCTTTCTGGGCTCTTTAGCTTTTCCTAGGGCTGGTTTATTTATTTATTATTTATTAAATTTGAAAACTTGAAAAATGTGTGTTTAAAAATTATTTGCCATGGAGATGTTTTAAATATTGTCCTTTTAAAATGGAAATTGAATGTAGGTAGTGCTTAATGTGGACTACTTATATGGATATAGTTAAAAATGAAGAAATAATGGACTTGTTTCAAATTCCCAGTACTCACTTGGGGGAATTATTCAAAAATATTTGGGATTTTGTACCATCAAAACATAACACACTTGAAACCTCTAGTAGGTTGTTTTATTCTAAGCTCATAGCAAGACATTCTAAAAAAAAAAAAAAAAAGCTACACACTTCTAATTTTCTCATTGTTTCTTCTTTACCTCATTTCCATAGCTTTATCTCAATTGTTTTTTTAGTTTCTAGCTTTTTAATTCATAAACTATTTTCATCCTCCTTTGTTCTACCATTCTCTTGGCCAGTTTTACATTCCTCTCCCACAAAGACATTTTATATAGATTCTTCTCTGCCAGATTTTCTTTGAACTTCTTTGTTCTCAGCCTTTTCTATTTATTTCCACTTTCTCTTGGCTTTTATTAGATTGCACATTGACTCCAAACATTAGTATGTGCCCACATTAGTGATTTAGAAACAGCACTTAATTAAATTTAAACAGTATCAGAGGCTGTTTGATTTGGGTTGTGGCTTGCATCCAAAGTGAGATTTGAGAAATGAAGTTTCATGTCTCCTGTGGACAAACATAGAAAATTCACAAATGCTGTAACTTTTATGTTTAGCAGGAGGCAGTAAATCCTGGCTTCCAGTCAACAGGAATATGAGTTTTAAAACTAAGTTGTGATTTAACCTTATAATTGAGGTCATTTTGCTATTTGGACAGAATTAGGTGTGCCGACTACAAAATAAAACTCTATCCAACTCCCAAACTAAAGTGAATGGAGACTCTGCCAGTCAATGTCAGAAATGTTATACTATATGCATAGTGCAATATTGCTTATTTGCAGGGCTTTTTTTTCTCATAGAATGCCCAGAACGGAGTTCCGGCACCTTTTTTTGGATGGAACTTTATAGGGTAGGCAAGGTGGGTTGTATGACGTGTGTGAGTTCCGGCACTTTTTTGTTGTTTTTTTTTTTTTTAGAAAAAAAGCACTGCTTATTTGAATTTTCAAGAATCTCTGCTGTTTACTAATGATAAGTATCTGCAGACCAAGGCTTTGTTTAGCCACCAACAAATGAAAAACAAACAAGTGTAGGATGAAGGCCACTTCTGCATGTTTTCACCCAATATAGTCCTGAGCTTTCTTTTCTGAACTGGGCCCGCAATACTTGCTGATATTATCAGACCATCTTGTTTTAGGTCTCTTTTGTGTATGCTTTTTATCAAGTGGGATACATTCTATGACTGCCTTGGTCCATCTTCCATCAGTTCTTCTTGTTATGTGATCAGCCCATTTCCATTTCATTTTTTATATCTGGAAAAGAACTAGAAGTACTAGACCACTACATATACCTTGGCCAACGGATCTCAGTGGAAGGTGATACAACAAGAGAAACTGAACAGCATGTTAAATATGGTTGGCAGGTATTTGGCAAGCTAAGGATAATTTTCAAGAACAACCTCAACCAATGCCTGAAGAGAAAAGTTTTCGATAAGTGTGTGCTACCTGCTCTAACATATGCCAATGAAACATGGACACTAACCTCACAAACAATTCAAAAACTAAGAGTGGTGCAAAGAGCCATGGAAAGATATATGCTCAGCATCATAAGACAAGATAGGAAGACTTGCACATGGATTAGAGAACAAACAAAAGTATATGGTATCATCAAGAGAGTATAAGAATTAAAAAAAAGAACGCACACATACATACACACACATGTGTGTACACATACACAGACAGACAGACAGACAGACAGATAGATAATAGGGATAAAGAAAAAGAATATTGCAAGCAGCATTCTGAATAGTGTTTGTTTTATAACTGATTATGTCTTCCAAACTTGTTATTTTGTGGATGGGTAAACTCTTGAGAAGGCAACAGGCTGAAAAATTCCAAATGTAGCTACCAGTTTCAAAGGATTAGAGATTCATATTGCGAATGTGTTGCCAACTTATTTGGATTTCATATAACTAAAAAAAAACACTTTTGAGATGGTTGAGGACCTTGAAATTGCAGTCATTACTGCATAATTCCTTTGATTACCACTTGGACCATCATCTCATAACAGGCATTTTCATCATCTATTCATACAATGGAGTAGAATCAGATCCATTATAACGGTGGAAATGTACGCATTAAATTATCATCATTGTTCACTTTTTGGTTTTCCAATCCTTTTTAATGGATTGGTTTTGCATGTTCTTAGAGAAGGTACTCAGAACACAGGCATTTCCATGTATCTACAGTTAACCCAACATAATAGAGCAGTTTAAATTGCAGAATTTGCTGTCTGAACCTATCTTGGTGCAGTCAAATCTTAACATTCCTTTAAAGGGAGAACACCATAAATCCTATATTTTTTAAAAAAATAAAACACATTTTACAGAGATGTTTGTGGCATTACTTCCAGAGGGTATAAATCCATATTCTTTTGTTGTTCAGTGACTAAGTCACATCCAATTCTTCAGAACCCCATGGATCATAGCACGCCTCCTTGTATTCCTTTGTCTCCTGGAGTTTGCCCAAATTCATGCTCATTGTATTGATGACACTATCTAACCATTTCATCCTCTGCCATCCCCTTTTCCTTTTGCCTTCAATCTTTCCCAACATCCATATTTTTAATATGCCTTAATTTTATGATCTTAATCCTTGTCAACAATTGTAAGTATAATTACAATATCATAGATTTTCACTGGCAAGGAGGCATGAACAATATTGGTTGTTTCAACTCCCAACTGGGCTTATATGTCACTGTTGAAAATGCATCATACGTCTTTCCGGCAACTGAGTGTTTACTGTGGGGAGTTAGTTTCAACGTTATGCCATTCCTGATTCTGTCAGTTGCATAAAAAGATGCCAAGCATCTGTTTTGAGAGAAGTCCTAAAGCTTCAGACTAATTAACCCCAAATATAAAACCATGGAGGTTATGATTTTCTAATGCAGACTTTAGTTGTAAAAATGGATCTTGGAATGATTGTGGGAGGCACATTTAGCTTACCAATGCTGTCATAGGGGATCTGAATGGAGTTGAAATCTGTCCAAATCCTGGTGTAGACAAAGATACAGAGCGGCATCATTCCCATGGCCAGCAGGGTTGAACATGTTGTCATACTGATGCTGAAAAAGAATCAGTCATTGTTACTATTGTTATCATGTTAGTTTCAAATATTTTGTGGATGCTAAATTGTGGGTTCTCACAAAAGTATGCTTATTTTCAAGTTCCAGATATAACTGTAAGAATGTTTGCCTTGTCATCAATACAGATAATCCTTGACTTTCTACCAGCCACTCAGCAATGGTTCAAAGTTACGACCTACTTGAAAAAAGGGAGTTAGCTGCTCTGCCCAGTCAGATGACCACTCTTTGGGTGCTTGACAACACAACCACATTTACAGCCATTTGCAGTATCCCTCAGTTACTGATCATGTATTATGAAGGTTTTGTTGAAAAGTGGGACTTTTTGGGAAAACTATACCATAACGAACAATTGGTTTGCTTAACAGCCATGGCAATTGCTTAACAACTGTGGTGTTCACATTTCTGACTGTAGCATTTGCTTAATGACTGCTGAAAAAATGAAAAATTTAGTAGCTTTACAACCGTAATGGGCATTACAGCCATAACTCAGAGACTACCTGTAATGGTATAATGCCTATAAATAGCAATAGTAATTTTGTAAAGTAACAGGCATATCATAAAGGGATCCTCAAGTGATTTTTCTCTTGTTATGTTCAGTTGGCCCCTGCTGGACTTTAGAAAGACTTGGAAACGTTGGCTGTTCCACTAGCTATGGGAACCAAGATGAGGGAGGGCATCAGGAGATTCCAGGGCTTTTTTTCCTCATAGAACATCCAGAACGGAGTTCCGGCACCTTTTTTGGATGGAACCTTGTAGGGTAGGCAAGGCGGGTTGTATGATGTGTGTGAGTTCCAGCACCTTTTTTTTTTTAGAAAAAAAGCACTGGGAGATTCCATTATTATTTATTGCTGACTGTTGTTTTTGATCTCGGTTGTTTGGTGTTCAAGTCACCCAGAATCATGTTGTTTAAATTGGTGGCTATATAAACTCTTCAAATAAATAAATAAGAAATCTTTATCATGCATTCATTCTCCGTTTTTGAGAGAATTGTAGGACGAGACATCCTGATGTCATCTAATATCTCTTTCAGTATTTTCCCAGTTTTACTTTTATTTTCAAGGCATAATACACACAGAATGCACAAAGATAACATTTGATAATGCAAACAGACAAATGAACTGTCCAATGTCACAAAACATTTTAAGTGGTAGGATTAGGAATTGATAGTCTGAAAGGATTCTTAAATATAGGAATTTTGAAACAGAGATTCCAAGGATAATGAAAATGGAAATAAATTAAAAACTGAGAAATCATAAGTTGAAGCTTAAGGATTATATATTTATTGGAAAATAATGGAAATTATGTCTGAATATACATATCTAAGATAGTATTGACAAGTTGAATTTATATGTGAATAAGACTTGCTGAACCCTACTTATTTATTTTCAAAGTAAATATAAGAATTGCATTAATAAAGCTCATTTTTCTCATTGTAGTGTAATATCTGAACAATTAAGTTTTACAAAATATCACTGGAAAAGAGGGAATAAAAATAAACAGCTTCTTATTCTTTAATTTGGCCCATTAAGGATCATAAACAATAATTAATTACAATTGGGAGGGAAGGCGAACAAAATATATACAGAAAATCGTATGTGGTCTGATTCTGTTAAACAGTTAAGCCAGGCATTTGTTATTATGGGAAATATAACTTATTTACTGTATGTAACCTGGGCTCACTTAAACTTACTTGGAAATAAGTCCCAGTGACTACAATAGGCTCTGCAGCTGAATAAAAAATGGACAGGATTTCATTGAAAGCAGCAACCCTATTTGTGTGGGTATAAATTTAATTAAACTAATTAGTGCAGGAAAACTGTTTTAAAAGTATCTGGACAAAATCCCAATTGCTTCTAACAAAAACAGAATGGAACATGATTAATGTATAAGCATTGCTAGTATTGATGAATGATAACCTTTTAAAAATCCAAAAATGTTTGAATTTTAAAACAAGGCCTATTAGCACCAGCACTAACATGTTACATAGTTTGGGTAATGAAACATCTGCAAGAAAACAGCCAAGCTGAGAGAGCACCAAGGACCTCTCACAATATCTATTCTCAAGTTATTTTGGAACATAATATTGCTAATAATATTATTAGCAACATGTGTACTGCAAAATTCCTATGATTTAATGCAGCGAATACAATTGTTGTGTGTGGGCTAGAATGCAGGCATTTTCCATATGCCAATCCATATGCATCCTCATATAGAACTTTACATACATGCAATTTGATAAATATTGCATGTCACCTGTGAATAGTTCAATGGAATGAATATATATTTCTGAACCAGCTCTTCTGAGCCCAGCTTTCAAAAGCAATTTAATAGTTTGGCACTGGTAAGAAAAAAGAACAACTTCCAAATTGGAAGTTATATCCTGCCAAGTTTTATTTGTGCTAGTACAAATTTTGGGTTGGTTTAAGATTCTGAATATATCTACAGTTGTGCTGAATCAGATCATGCATATATTGGTAGCAGCAAATAGGATCTGACTTTGGACTGCATTCCTTTTATTTGTATAATAAGATTAATTCTGTTACCCTTCATGTTCTAGCTAGCTATCTTAATGACTAAAAGAAAAAGAAGCAGCAAAACAGCCACAACCCTAGAATGAGTCATGCACCAGGTTCAGGAAAGTACCTACCAACTTTTCAAAACCTTTGATCAAAATATGTAAAAATTAGAACTGAAATATATATATGTGCTTCTAATATTTTCCCTCTCTTGATCTTCTTTCTCCTCTTTGTTCTAGATGTGCTTTTGTTTTGTTTTATTCTTCCCAAATTCAGTGGTGCCTAGCACTTTCAAAGAACCCCCAAATGGTCCCTTCTTCTCTGAATTTTGGAATTCATCCACCCTTCAATTTCCATTCACCTTTTTTGCCATCTCTACTCCTATGATTGGTGGTCTCAGCAAACTTGACTTGAAAAGTTCTCTTTTACTCCTCCAACTTTGCCCTACTTGCACTGATTTTTCACTTTAATCTAATTCATTGCTCTGTATTTTATACCGAGGATGGAGGAATTCATTTTCTTCAGTTGGAATTCACTGTATTTCTGCTATTACCAATGAAAGCACTTGAACACTTTGATTTGGTGTCCTCTCTCTCTCTCTTTCTCGCTCTGTCAATATAACTATTTATTTTGAAGAAACTGATAGTAGCAGATAAATACATCAAGATGCACTATTGCCAAGATTTAAAGTGGGTATACTGTATCTGCAAATGCAGTTGTGTTCAAGCCATTCTGTTAAGAGTGTTTTCTAATAAGGTGGAAGCTGCAGAGCAATATTTTTAAGTACAATGTTTTATTAAGAGATATAATGCATGGTGTTTGTTAAATTATAACTTCTATTGATTTCAGCAGGTTCTCTCACTAATAAACATGCACAAAGTAGCAGTTTTAAAGTTCAGTTTTTAAAAAATATGACACAAATTTAAACTCTGAGAAAAGCAAGTCACTCTTACCTTAGGTCCATGTCACCATCCAACCAGTAAGCTAAAATGTTAGAAGCTGTTCCACCAGGACAACATCCCATGATGATCACTGCAACAGCTTGAATTGGAAGCACACCAAAAGCAAATGCCAGTGTAAAACCCAAGAGAGGCATGATTCCAAACTGGCAAAGGATACCCACAATGATACCCCAAGGCTTTTTTATGTGTCCTAAAAATTTCTTCAGTTCCACATTGCAGCCCATGGAGAACATCACCAGTGCCAGCATAACAGTTAGGACAGTACTTAAGATTACGCTCAAAACTTCGTTGAAATCATCTGGTGGCTTTAAGCAGGATGTTCCTTTGCAGATGGTGGCATTTCCAGAACAGTGTGAAAAATTCCAAGTTGATTGTGTTGTTGGAAATGCAGAGGTTAAAATACCAGATTCCCTTAAATAGTACTCCTGCATTTTGAAGGGGAAGAAATGCTTGTCCAGGCTCTCATGCACTATATTGAAACTAGTCTTCTTCAATGTCTCATTATAAATGACTAGGGGCAATAAAGAAGATGATAATGCTGGAATTTGGCAGTTGCTAAGGTTTAGAGCTGAGGTGTTGAGTCACAATATATCCCTAGTGCAAATACATTTATTCACTGTGAATCAATCATTTATTTTCAGAATAGGTGAGGTTTCACACCAAATTAATATTTAAACATAATGAGTAACAAGCAAAAATAATTAATATATTACATGAGGATCAAAGAGTAACTGGGAGCATCTCTCTTTAATATTTATCTCTTCTCCACCCCTTAATTTTCAGCCAGCTGTACTGTGAAAAAATATTTGCCCCCTTTTGGATTTCCTGATGTTTGCTATCACATTCTCATGTGGGTCTTTCTGACTTACAAAGGAAGTCTAAATGAAAAAAAAATCAAAATTTTCTGTGAGTTTCATTTACTTCATCCAATATACTGATGTATATATTGCTAGATTAAAAATATGTTGTCATTTCATACTAAAGCACTGTGCTGAAACATATACTATATTTCCCCCCTTTTTAAAGTGAGAAAAGGTGAGTCTTTAAACATATGATTTATTATTGCAGTTTCCTTATCTAAAATTAGATATTATATAGAATTGGAATTAGAATTTTCTTGTCCTGCATGAAGAAAAGATAATCCATTGAAATCAGGGCTAATCATCTTGATTATCTGATATCCTCTTAGTTCAGAGACAACTCACTATCCGCATTTGGACAACACTGTATTTTTTTAAAAAAAAACAAAACAAAATAAAACTGTCTCAGTCCTCACAAATGTTGGGATTCCAGGGATTCAGCAAATGCCATCATTTATGTTACCATTGATGGTGCTCAGCTGTATGGCAAAGAGGTTGATGAGATTAGTCAAGTCTGCAACTTCTCATTGTCAGTATGTTATTGTGTCCATTTGCAGTAACTGTCCATTGGAGGTGGGCCAGTAATTAAGATGGGAGTGCCCTTTTGCTCTTCTTACTCCACTGTCCACCCATAAATATCAGCATTACCCTTCAGATTACATTCAGCCTGGGGCCATCATACACATGTTGGGAATGGAACTGGAATAATGTAGGTGATGTTGCTGCTCAAGTTAGATGTGCCTCAGAGTTCTCACTGTGTAAGAAACAAGGAATAAGATCACCCAGTAACTAGCACATAGTAGAAGTTAGTACTTGCTCCTAATATCTGTTTTTGAGATTGCAGTGAATTGCACTTAAAAACAACTGTCAAAATTGTATTTCTTGACACAGAATCTGTAGATCTAAAATGTGAGTTAACTTTGGAGTGCAAAAATACTGGGAACCTGTTGCACTGGTTTTTCACAGGATAGTAGGGATTAGAAAATGGTTTGGTCCAAAACATTTGGAATATAAAATCTGTTTCAATTCTAAGGTGAAGTATGTGGGTTCCTTGGTAGATGGAAAGCAAAAGATAAATAAAGTAGGTGGTCTTTATATTAACAAAGGTAGAGATAATTTTAGGTGCTGTATTGACGGGACCCAAATTGCATTTTTCAGATCATGCTTACATTCCATCAAAGGCTGTAATGAAGGATAGACATTACTTGACATCAATTTATCTTTAAACTTAGTTTTTGTCTTACTCTTGCCTTTATAGATCTGGCCAATCATCTTGATAGATCAAGGAACAGTTTGTTAGATGGATTCTAATTATATGTCTAGCCATAACTACTGCTGTTTCTCAAGGGAAGACACAAAGAGTGTTAATAAAAGTAGCAGAATTGAGCTCCACAATGCTCTCCGTTCTATCCCTAAAATCTTTATAAATATTTGTCTGGTCGTGAGCGGTAGCAAGCTTTTGCATGAAGATATTATGAATGGTGGCTTACCCACATTTCAGAATCCCAATTGTAAAAGTTTCTAGAATGTGTAGAAAAGTATCTAGGCATCTGATGCTTCCTGAACCGAGATCACTATGTAAGTTTATGAATGAAGAGCTTGGAAAAGTTATGAAGTAAATACTAGCTCAATGCAACTTTTTTTTAATGAACTCAAACCTTGTTAGCCAAAAAGCTATAGTACTGATGGATTACTGAGTAAAATGATTCAGGGCATAAAATAGATTGTAATGATTTAAAATTATTTTATTGGATTAGAGTATAAGAGCAAAAGCAAGCATGTTCTTTTTCTCCAGTAATATCCTTGGACTTTGACATTTAAGAGACTATGGAACCTATCCTAGCCCTTGCTTGAAAGTTATAATTTTACTTTATAACCATCATCAAGAACTGCTGAATCAATTTTTAAAATCCATGATATCAGACTAGTAAAACAAATGTACTCTTGCTTTCTTTATTTTCAGAAAAGCATCTGATAACTTAATTTTGGAAAATCATTTTTAGAAAAATATTGAGTCCATTGGGATGTATAAAAATATACAACTATTGTTCTAAAGTAAGTTTCAGTGTACACTTTTCTCGGACCAAAGGCTGAGCTCAATTTAACTTAAAAATTGCTGAATTATATGCGTGATCTGACACAGAATATTTCTGGGCTGGCAATTCTTTAGTGAGATGGACACTTGTGAGATATGGGGTTTCCAACTGTAATCCAATGTTAGAAACATTGGGATTGAGATACTACTGGGATTCAGATAATATATAATCCCCCCATTTAAATTAACAGAGTCAGTGTTGAATTAGTAATTTGGGCTTAAACTGTCTCAAAATATAACACTGAACAAGCTTACTTCTTCTGTTATATATTCAAGATGGACAGTATTTAATATTTATTTGCTACATATATGTAGGGGTGTGGGTCTATACGTATGTTGTACATAGTATGTTTTAGGTGTGTGTCATGTATGTGTCTCACTTTGAGAGCGGACAACTAAATTTCATTTTTGATGTGTGCCATTGTGCCCACAGTAAAAAAATGACAATAAAGCTTATCTTATCTTATTTGTCTGCCTGGCATAAGTGTTAGTTAAATGAGCACAACAGTTAAGATCTTCTTGATAGCATCTCTCTGATGCTTACTAAACTGATAAACTGATACTTAATATGCTCCTTAATTAAATATAGTGTTACTGTTACTGGACTGCAAAAGTATGATTTATAATTAAATGGCAGAAAAAAAGAGTTTTCTGCATCTTTTTGCAACTTCTGCATTTAGTTACCATACAGAGTTCAATTATTGTAACCCTGCTTTAAAGCATATCTAAATAATTACTATTAATTATTATGGCATGTATTGAGTTGGGGCATAATTGGGCCATTATGCATGTGGTGCTGAAAATTAATCTTTAAGTGTAATGATGATATTATCATTATTTGAAATATTCATAGTTTATCCTTATTTCATAGATTTCAGTTTTCCTTAGATTTTAGAGCATGAATCACTATTAAACTATGACCACCTTCAAGTGAGATGCAGTGTCTCTCTTCCCCACTCAAAGCTATTCAAAAGTAATTGGACAATGAGAGGTGAATTATTCTAAAGTCTGTGGATATCAAGAAGGTCCTTGAATCAGTGTTACAGTGTTCAAACAAAGCAATATTCCTCAGAGCCCAGAGATAAAGCTGACAGTTTATTCATACGCATTGACTGAACTCCTGCAACCAAAACCTCTATGTCTCTTATCACAAAAATAGACTGATATTCAGTAAGTAAGCAAGGGAACCTTTTGGGGGATATGAGTAGATATATTAAATTTACAAATACCTCAAGATCTCTCTGCTATGTTGCCAGTAGACATGACCAGCTCCAAAACAAACAAAAAGAAACAAATAGCTTATAGAATCCAGCCAGATGACACCCAAACACAGAATAATTCATTTTGTAGTATGCAAAGACTGTTGGAGCAGATATCTAAAGGTGAAATGCCTATTATGTAACCCCTAAAAATCAGTTCTGCAAAATATTTTTGGGAAGCTGCTCAGAATTGGTTAAATGATATATAAATGTTAAATTAGGCCTCTATATAAATGTCTAGTCATGTCCAGCTCTAGGGGTGGTAGTCATCTCTATTTATTAGCTGAGGGAAGCAGCATTGTGCAAAGATATTTCTGTGGTCATGTGGCCAGCATGACTCTATGCTGAAGCACATAGAATGCTGCTACCTTCCCACTGAAGTGATACCTATTTATCTACTCACATTTGCATATTTTCAAACTGCTAGGTGGGCAGGAGCTGGGGCAAATAGTGGGAGCTCACCCTGTTGCGCAGCATTCAGTTTTCAAACTTGGGCTAGACAAAATTAGTGTTTTTAACTCTGAGCCATCGCGCCCCCACATATAAATGTCATAGTTAAATAATTCTATGAACAGAATTTAGATTACTTTCAGTTAAAGCTTGTACCTGTATAAATAAGGTACTGATCAGTGTTTATAAAACAATCTTCTCTCTCTCAAAAAAGTCCATATTCATTATTCTGCAATGCTTGGATCTGTTAATTCAGCAAAGCATCTAGAAATAAATCTCTTTTATGTGAGTTAAAGATATTTGGATAAGTATTCATTCTCAGGATTATTCTTTTAGAATCTGAGGAAAAGTTGATTTGTAGTTTAGAATTAAGAGGGTTATGAATCTTATGACATCTAGGTTCTCAACTTAGTATGGCAGGTATGAATTTGGCCCATAAAAAAGCTAGGTCAACATAATTTTCTAAAAGGCAAACATTTACAGCTTTAAGATCATATCCACAGCAATGACTAAGGGTAGAAATCAGGAAATGCCTGTTAAATAAAGACTCTGACGTTGAGGTTATTCCCAAACTGAGGAACCACATTGCTTTTGTCCTGCTTATGTAGTTGTCTGGGAAAAATCACCTCTTTCTGGTTGACTCTAACAAAATAGTGTCACAGTTGTACAATTTTATTTGCACCCTCTCCTCAAATGATTCCTATAATTCATACAGCAATGGTAGAAAGTAGGGGTTTGGTGCTGAATTAAGCTCTCCTGTTTTAACTGTATTTCATTATTTATTTATTTTAATGTTAATTAATATAATGGCTTACGGGTATACATTTTTATTAAATAAACTTGAAATTTATTAAAAAAATACACAAAAGTAGAACAGTCCCATCTCTGTTAAGTTTTTTTTGG